AAACCGAGGCGGCAGGCTGCGGACCTGGGCGCTCCACTGGACGACGCCCTGGTGCTCCTGTGTCAGACTCGCTGGCCTGGAAGCCTTCGGTCTCAGAGTTGGCCCAGCAACGCGTGCCTGGAAGGCCTCCTCCACACAGAGAGAGAGTGGAGAAGGGGCCGGAGCAGCTGTCTCTGGAGCAAAAATCAATCCAGGAAGCGACACGTAATGATGGTTCACACAACACACCTCAGCTTGCTGCTCCCTGGCCGCTGCAATTCATGCTAGTCTGTGTTTGGAGGTGAGGGGGTTTTGAAATGTGACGGTCAGGAGAAGAAATAGGTTTTCCAAGTCCCCTGAGATGGGTTCATAATACAGAAGGACTGACAAAGAAAGGTGAGGCGATGTAAACGTGCAGTCACTACAAACTGCTGGCAAAAGGAACGCCATAGGGTGAGGAGAGGTCACAGGATACAACTTATACGGAAACTCCTTTTCATCTTGAAAACCATGCCTTCCACCCCAACCACCTGCCACCTCTACCCTCCCTACAGGCCTTTCTTTTCTGGGAAGTTAAAAAACAAACAGTGTGAGGTTTATTTCCATATCTGTAGCTGTGATTTTTGGCTAACATTTTGGGGTCCACACTGTGCCTGCTCTGTGTTCCCTGCTTCAGTAGATGACCTTGCTTGACCTTGCAACCACCCCGCAAGGCAAATACTATGACCAGCCCGATTTTCATACGCCAGAAAACTTCGGCATAAGCAGGATGAATAACTCGCTTCAGCACCAGGACACTGGGGCCCTCCCAGTCCGCCAGGGCTGCACCGCAGACAGCCCTGAGCTGGAGGGGAATAAAGACCATCTCAGGACAAGTGGGCCTTTCATTCAGCCACTGAGGAAACTGGGGATACACCAACTTGATCAAACTCCCTCCCGCATGGGCAGGGCCCGTAACTTCTCCCCAAATACTGCCCCCCCATCTCCCCACCCCCCGCCCCGTAGGCTCAGAGCCAGACCAGGGCCTGGGCTCGGCCTCGCCCATCACTGCCCACTGTTCCCCCAACCCGGCCCATCCCCTCGGGCTGATCTCTGTCGCCTCTAGCTTTGTTAGATTTTCAAAAGCAAAAAAGGAAGAAGCTATCACTTCCTGAGACTCTACTGAACACCAGGTTCAATCAACCCTCGCATGACCCCTAGGAGGCCAGTGCTACTATATTTCCATTTTAGAGATGAAAAGATTGGCTTGGAGCATTTTAATTATTTGCCCAAGTCACACAGCTAGTAAGTAGCAGGCTCTTAGGTACGAGGCTACCTCACAAAAAAGTGAACTCTTACCAACAGCTTTTCCCCACCTTTCCTCCTTTTATGTTCCTGCTGCCCCTGCCTCCCACCCACCACTGCTGGCAGAGAGGGTGCATATTTCACCGGCTCCGGGCCTGCCCTCCTGCCCTGCAACCTTAGGTTAAACATGACTCAAAAGAGGACTCATGCAAAGTCAGCGAGTTCTGTACGGCTTGGTTTTCATCTTCTACCACAGGCCTGGGCCGACCCTCCACCCAGGGACTTGAACTCCTGTATGACCCAATAGCTCATGGGATCAATGCCCCACTGAAAGAAGGGGCTCGGGCCAAACATGCCCTATATCTTTAGGTCCAGCAGCCACTGCGAGTGCCCAGATTCCTCAGGGATAAGCAGTGATGCATGAGTTGGCCTGTGAAGACCTGAGAGCATCGTAATTCAATAAATGCAGAGGACAAGCTGTGCGAGGTCCCTGAGATCATTGAAACTGACCTGCAATTCACCAGCCACCAGGGGAAATTCTATCACTTCGCTCACTCTGCTTCCATGGCTTGAAACCAAATCAGGGGAACACAATCAGATTTCTAATTTGGAACCCTGGACACGCCACATCACCTTTAATGACTCCCAGCAAACGATGCTCGTCACAGATCTCATCCTACTGAAATTACAACATGAAACCTAAACATTAAGCAGAAATTTTCAATTTCTCAGGTCGGCATGGCCATAGAGAAATCATGCAAGTGGGAATACACTTACTCTGTTTTAGGGTCTGTTAGGCTGCAAATATTGGAGCTAGAAAATAAGTAAATAAACAAGCCCATCAGAGATCCTGACGTGCAGGTGTGGGCTGTCTGGGTGAATAGCAACTTTTCACCATCAGCCCGAGCCATCGTGTTGAGCAGCATTATCTCTCTGCTGGAGGCCAGTGTCTGGGACACGGAGCTCAGCCTCCTCGGACACGGTCGGCTGCAGGCCCCAAGCCTTCCCGTCACCGCCGAGTGGACTGAAACACAGTGCAGTCCGCACACTGTTCGGGCGCGTGCAGCGCCTTTGCAATGGGAGGCTGACTATTCCTCTCTCATCATTACTGCTACACCTCATTCAGCATGGATCTTCTAGAATTTCGGGCAACCGTTGACAACCTCCACAGATTATATTTACATCTCTCACTGGAGCCTCCCCGGTGGCCCTGCCCATCGTGTGACCTTGGGAGCGGCTGCCACGGCCAAGGGACGATCTGCATTCCCAGCTGTCATGTCTGCTCTGACTCCACCCTTCTCAGACCTGAATCCAGGAAGGCGGAGCTGTTCTCTGTCTGCAGCCTCAACAGATGCCCCAGAAATATTAGCACAACGTTAGATGCAAATAGAAACTGCAAACTCAAGTCTTTATTTTCCCTTGATGTGCATTCTTACAGAGAAAAGTGAGAGCCTGGGAACCAGGAGCAGTTAGTGGTGCACTCCCAGCCCCTGAACCCCCTGACCATGAACATGGTATGCCTTCTCCTAGGGGCCGAGGAACACCTGCAAATAACACAAGTGATAAACTATAAGTTTTATTCTTTTATCAATTAAAAGAACCACTTCTGAGCCTTAAACTGTACACTACAGCTCAGAGAGAGATAAAATCCCTTCCTTAATCCAGGCACAAAAAAATGAACACCCAGGGTTTCTAAGTGTAACTGTCGAACCAGAAAACCCTTCAAAAAACTGGAACAAATGTGAAGGGGGCATCTGCACCCACCAAAGCTAAAGGAGGCCGGGACAAAAGGCTAGGTCACCCCCGAAAAGACTGTGGGTGTTATTTCATGACATTTCCTGTGAGCCTCAGCCTTCAGAACCAAATCGCTCCCCGGGCCACCCGGGAGCCTCCCTCCAGAGGAACTTCTCCTTATCGCTCCCTCGCCCACGTGGTGGCCGAGCAGGAGGAGAGAGTGCGTCAACAACTCAGGGTCCTCGCTGTTTGAAGCCAGTGCTGAACAAGGACAACAAGGGCCTTGGCAGACATGCTCTCTCACCTCTGTGGTCTGTATAGTGCTGAGGGTCTTGGTCAGGAAAAAAAACTAGTAAGTTAATTAATGAAAAGAATAAAGGACAAGAAGACAACCGCTATGATGTGAAGTACAGTGAACTGCCTCAACTGCCTCTTGTGACACTCGGTGCACTGGTATTTACGGACAAGGAGCCAGGGGCCTGGAGCCACCTGCCTGCCCGAGGTCATGGTTTTCTATGACGCCAGCAGATACCGGAGAAGCCCTGTAGAGGAACGTGCTTCCCAAGAAATGCATTAGTGCGAGCATTCACTCCAAGGGGGCAGAGGAAGGGTATTCGGCGCACGCCAGGCACTTGAGACACATCCCCCAAGACGTGCTGAGCCCTGACCCATTTATTCAGTAAATTACTCTCATCAGTAGGTCAGAAGTTAACGGAAGCCTTCCAGCTGCCCCCTGGCCCCTTGGCTAGAGATAGTCCCTTTGCTAACCTTGCCATTAAAACTGGGCAACCCATGATATTCGACAAAGTAATTAAGGACAAATCAAAGCAATTACTTGACATCCTTTGCAATAGCCAGATGACATTTCTGATCCCAAAAAGCAAACTGGACCAAAAATAAAATGTTTTTTTCAGAGCTTAGATAAGTTCAGCACCCATAATAAGTTACTATGGGAAAGCAGGGTGTTGTGTACCATCCACCCCCCTTTTAAGAGCAACCTCAGACGTGGTGATAGTCCCTGAGCTCTTCCCCCTCCTGTGTCTTGCCTCTCCTGCCTGCAGGAATACAGTGGAAGGCTGAATGAGCCGCATGCATGAGCCAAAATGGCAGTTCTGAGCAGGGCCAAGACCAGGGTGAGGCAGACAGAGGCACCTAGAGAGCAAATCTGAAGTGGCAGTGATGCCCGTGGACGTGCAAGTCCCTGACCTGAGGCCCTTATGTTAGATCTGCAATTGCAGAAGCAAGCCTGCCACCTGTACACACTGAAGGAATAAGAAAACTGAGCTGCAATCAAGCCCACCTGGAGGACAACAATCAAAAACAGCAGGGGGCTAAGGGGTCTTTTGGAACAGACTCCAGGCCAACAGTGAGTTGCGGAGCAAAATCCAGAAGAGTCAGAAAACTTAGAATAAGCACCTATCTACCCACGGGCACCAAATGTGGGAATAACATACGAGTAAAAGCTAACATTTGTTAACATCTACTATGTGGCAGAAGCCTTTGACACATCAGCTTATTTCATCTTCACCAGAACTCTTGGAAGTGAGTGCTGTATTATTATCATTTAAGAGATATGAAACGGAACCTCAGAGAGATTTAGGAAATTCCCCCAGACCTCAGAGCCATGCTATCATCCTAAGTCTGTTTTCTTCATTGTCCCACTGACAGTCCCACTGACAAATGTCACTCTCAAGGAGGAGAGAGCAATAAAACAACCACTGTACAGTGAGTGGCAGGTCCCAAGTTGGCAGGACAGTGCTGTAGCCATAACCCTTTACGCACTGTACACAGTCTTGGTGACAGACTTTCTCATCTCACACATCATCCTGGCCTGAGAATATTTTTGAGAGGCCAGAAAGTATGGATCATCCTCCTCTTCAATGAAGACACTGAAGTGCCAACTACGGCTTAGGTGCAGGACAGAGAGAGGATGGCCACCCCAGCCCTTTGAAGTGGACCGAGCCACGGCTCCCCCACGGGACACCCTGCGCCAAACCACTGACCTCCACATGCCCGTGAAACTGAACATGGTGCTGACGCAGCGCGGGAGGGGCGGCGGCGTGAGTCCGTCCAGGCGCATGAGCAGGGCGGGGATGCCAAAGAGCACCAAGTACTTCACGTAGAAGAAGAGCACCTGGGCCAGCGCCAGTCCGCCTGAAAGACAGAGGGGCCATTAGACGCAGGGGCGGGAAGCGGGCGTCCCCGGGCAAAGACGTGGCATTCCGGGAACTGCGGCGCCCCTGGCCCAGCACTGCTCCGCCCACCGTCCTCCTTCCCGTCGGCACCCTCGTCTTTCAAGTCTCGCACCCCGGTTTCGACCAATGAAATTTCAGGAGTAACAAATATGAAATTTCTTTTATTATTGTGACAGGCAATAGACACTCTTTGCAGTCATGCTCCCACAGGAAGGCACAGATACTAGAAAAGGGCACAATTAAAAACATACACTGCACCCTGGCTGGTGTAGCTCAGTGGATTGATTGCGGGTCTGGGAACCAAAGGATCGCAGTTCCATTCCCAGTCAGGGCACATGCCTGGGTTGCAGGCCAGTTTCCCAGCAGGGGACACACGAGAAGCAACCATACATTGATATTTCTCTCCCTCTCTGTTTCCCTTCCCTTGTAAAGATATATAAAATATAAATAAATAAAATTATTTTAAAAAACATATATCATATATCGCATTTAAAAACTATTAGAAAGGAAAGGAAAAATCTTTAGAAAGGGAAAATCCTTCCCAAGTCCTTTCAAGTCCTTTCAACCTTACATAAGTTCACACCCACTGGGATGACAAGAATCAAAAAGTCAAATCGACAGCCGATGGCAAAGAGGTGGAAATACTGGAGCCAGCGTGCACTGCTGGCGGGAGTGCAAGATGCTGCAGCCACTTTACGACACAGCCCGGCAGTTCCTCGCGTGGCCACAGGCAGAGTTTCCATATGACCAGCAACAGGCCTGACAGGAACGGAAACATGTCCACACAGACATTACGCCCAAATGTCCACAGGAGCATCGCTCCGATATCCAAAAAGTTACTGTCTGGACCTCCCGATGTTGCACAAGGATCTTTGAAAGACTGTCACTACCACGGGGTGTGTGGCGGTAAATCACAACAGCGCCAGAAGCAGGACATAAGCCATGTTTCGAATACGCAGTTTGGGAGACGGCAGGCAGTGACCCAAACTGAAGGCAGTGGGTCCTGCGAGGAGAAAAGCGCAGGAATCCTCATCCCATGCAGGGCTGGCCGGACAAACGGCTCTCCAGACTTCCGGAAACCAGACTGCAATCACGCCTGCCGGGCGGGCAGCGCATGGAACTGCAGCCTTCTTACACGCGTCTGACAAGAGTCGAGAGAGAAAGCTGACATTCGTGTGTGAATACCTAGGTACAGGTGTGTGTGTGTGTGTGTGTGTGTGTGTGTACACACATGCATGGAGAATGGGATACACGTGCCAGCCACAGCACTTGGGGGCTTATGACTACCCTGAATAAAAGGAACCACCAGTTCTACTGCTGGGCAGCCAACATGGGAGACCCTAGAATACTGTGGTCAGAAAACCCCAGAGCTAGAAATGACAGGACCGGTAAAGATGACCGGCGGAAGGGCACAGCGCTTCAGAACTAAAAACCATCGGCGTCGGTCCGCACATGAGCACCGAGAGTTCTCTTCCCGGTCACCGAACGCATGATCGGAGAGGACAGGCTGCTTCCTGTCTCACACACTGCCTCTAATTCGATACTGTGTTTGCACAGTTATTATGAATTAAAATCCATAGCTGAGTCCACATTTTTATGAGTCACCATTTATACAGAATGGTTACCATTTGTTAGTATTTTCATATAGAACTGAGCTAAAGAAATGGTTGATAGGTACTTACTTTTACACTAGGGCTAGATCTAATGGAAGGTGAAGTAATTGGGGAGCTTCACCCCAATATGGATGGAAGGCACCAGAAGCCACACATTTATCAATATGCAACAGGTGAGCTATTTACATGCTACTGAACATTTTTATGGATTAAGATACGAAAGGTTTAAATTTATCTTTTTCCCTTGATATTTTAGTGACTGGTTCACATGCTTATAGAAAAAAAGATGTATAGTGGCTTTTAAAGCATTCTCATTATAATATCTGCATTGTTTAATATTTGAGAAAACTGTGTTTGCACCTGAGCTTAATAGTTCTGCTGCCTTGCTGTTGGTTTTGTCATCACCGTGAAGGATGCGTAGCTCATTATTCTCCCCCCTGGACCTCAAGATCAGCCTTTCCCTCCTAAGACTTGGTCTCAGGTTTCAGGGTTTGCCCTAAGGATTTTGCTCCCACTAGGCGGGCAATATGATTGATGAAAGGCAACAGAAGAATACAAATGACTCTACTCTAAAAGTTATTTGACATACATATATGGAAATAGCTTGCATTCTATCCAAAAACACAAAATGTAGCTATTTTTCAATGCTTACATTTTTTTTGCTGGGACTGTATGTAAAAGATTGTCTCATCTGCGAGAGTTCTGACTGGTTTTGTCCAACCCCTTCCTCTCCACAGAGAGTCACAGGTGACATCCATCCATCCAGTGAGCATGGGGCCTGACCACTGAATCACCAGTTGTGGGCCATGAGAGGCAGACTAGAGGCCAAATCCATGGCGGCCCAGCCTCAGGGACTCACCGGTGGGTTTCAATCACAGCCCCGTTTACCCTCCCCCTCTGGCACTCGGTGCCCCTCCTCCTCTTGGAAAAGTCCCACATGCCCTTCCATGCAGGTCGAATACGGCCTCCTCCTTGTATCTTCAGGACGCTCCAGGCAGAATTAACAACTTGTTTGGGCATCCATTTAATAGAGAGCTATTAAGCACCAGCCGTTTGCCAGGCGCTACACAAGGCTTGGCCCTGCCTTTGTCAAGTCTACAGTCTGTTCCCAGGGACAGGAAAGAATGTGACTGAGAAGTGGGATCGAAACCCACACCACAGGGACAGGCTACAATCCAAACACAGTGGCCGAGACAGCGGCTTACACACGTTAGAACATCCAACAAATATTCATTGTGTGCTTAGTGTGCACACGTGCGTGTAAAGCACACAGCCTGGACTTCCAGGGCGAGCCCGCTAACACTGGCTTCTGAGAGAGCATCACGGCACAGTGACAGCAGCTGCTGGGTATCATGGCGACCTCCACACACTGGGCATCATCCCATTCAATTCTCACGTCACACTTCTCCATGGACATTGACACTACCCACGTTTTCCAGACAAGACCCTGGACACAGAAAGGTTACAAAATCCGCCCAAGGTCACACACTACTGAGTAGCAGGGTCAGGACTTGAACCTGGGTCTGTGCGCCTCAGTGTCACTAAGTTTACTAGAGCCACACGCAACTCTGAGAGCAGGCTCCACGCGGGGTCCGTGTGAGGCGGACCAGGTGGCCGGGTGGAGGAGCTGTGAGGGGAGCTGAGGGGCGCCGCCCACGCAGAAAATGAAACGCAGAGCCAGGGCACTGCAGGTCCTCGGAAAGCCAGCCTCCAGCGCACGCCACGAGCGAAGACCTCCAAGAAGCAGTCGCACGGTGGCGGTGCCCACGGCGAGCACCTCCGCGTCCGCAGACTTGCCGTCCGGACCCTCTTCCTGCCAAACCGAGTCGTCCTTAACTCAGGAACCCGAGGGAGAGTTTACTTCCCAAACAGTTCAACTTCGCACAGATTAGTAACTGGAAAACCTGGTTTTGAATACTTTCTTCTTCTTAGGGTTTAAATCACCCAAATGCCTCTCTTCAAAGAAAGGACATGTTGCTTGGGAGAAATACAGTTACCTAGTTAGGTATGAAATCCCATTTGCCCAACTTCTTCAATTACACGTTGTTAATGTCTTGGGGGGAAAGACTAGGGGCCGCAATATATCCTATCACACAGCATGCACATTGTAATTTTCCTATAAAATACTGAATACTTCACAAAATATATCTTAAAGTAAAATCAAGGTGTTCCGGAAGCATTGTTATATGGCAAAATAAAGTTAAGTTAAACCAAAAAAAAACACTCTAGTAATATAACAGAATGGACACGCTGAATTAAGAGTTTATTTATTTCTGTCTACAAAGGCCCTTCCCAACCCAAAAACTATAGGGAAGAAGACTCCGCCCATCGGAGCTGAACTAATAATACCTCACACGCACAGCTGCACAAGCGATGCAGGGAAGGGAGGAGTTTTTACACAGGACGAATGACCCAAAATTCTGCCAAGCAACTTTTCAGGTAGAGACCAGGTGTAGATTTCTGTTTGAATCCTGATGCTTCAGTGTAATTCACTTGGCCCAGTAGAAGTGCTCTATAAAGTCTATGTACAAAAAGACTTGGAAGTTAACTACTGATTAAAGTAATCTATTGTAAATCCTTCAAGGAAGGAAAGAATCCCTTTAGAAAGTGAATAACTGTCACCCTAAAGTACCCAACAAATTCACAGTTCCATACGTCAACTTTGCCTAAAAGAAAGGCACGCCATTGTATGCCATCCACGAAGGTCTCTGTACACTAGTTTACCTGGGCGCAATCCTTGATTAGACAGGCTCTGACGAATGCCGTTGTATTCCATGGGACATCAGGGTTGGGGGGATGGAGGGCAGGGAATAGGTGGTGTTCCAAAGCAGTGCTGCGACCTGCTGCTCAGTGACGCCACGGTGTCAGGCAGGCACCTCCCCCACTCCGTGAGCATGACCCTGAAGTCGTCCTCACACCACACCAAGTATCTGTAGTTGAGCAGTCAAGTTCACGGTAGTACATCACAGAGCAGCTTCAGGTTCACACTGCATTGATTTTATACAATCTCAGGATTCGAATCCAGGGAGAAAATGTATAATAATTCATTTCTTTTACTGTATATTAACAAACTTTACAATGTTTAATGCCACCAAAAAGTGGAAAAAGAAAAGAACTTGATGGTATCTGATATATGTTTGAGTTCCCAGTTTTCAAATAAACGTTAGACGTCCAATATCTTACCCTCTCCCCTCAATGTGACGTTGTAGAAGGAAAGAAGGAAATGGTTGGCCTTTTCGGCATTTCATTACCGTTTCTAAAGGGGCACAGACATTATCTCAGCACCAGCTGGTGCTGAAACGCTGAGCCAAAACCCCTCGAAGCACGCCCACTTAGGGATAGGCCC